TCAGTATCAGTCAGGGTGTCAGTCTCTGGATCAGTCACTCAGTCAGGGTGTGCTCAATCTGTCAGGCTGTCAGTCAGTGTGTCAGAATCAGTCAGGGTGTCAGTCTGTGAATCGGTCACTCAGTATGTTTTCAATCTGTAAGGCTGTCAGTCACTGTGTCAGAATCAGTCAAATTGTCACTGTCAGTTTGTCTGTGAATCAGTCAGTCAGGGTGTAGTCAGTCTGTGCAGCAGGGTGTCAATATGTAACTCACCTGGCTCACTGTATCCCTCTATGGAGCTAAAGATGTTGTTGAGCAGTATCGCACTCATGCTGTTGTAGACACCCAGCCTGATCTGGCGGCCATCGCCTGAGTTGAGCCCTGGTCCCAAAGCGTAACGGACATAGGGCAGGCGTCCCTGCCACCCTCGTGGAGACACAGGTCCAGAGAGCTGACTGATATTTTAAAATTAGACCAAAAGATAGAGACATTAATACAGACACACTGGACACTACAGTACATTAACACTGCACTGAGAGAGAGACGAGTTAATACAGACACACTGGACACTACAGTACATTAACACTGCACTGAGAGAGAGAGGGGTTAATACAAGCACACTGCACTGAGAGAGAGGGGTTAATACAGACACACTGGACACTACAGTACATTAACACTGCACTGAGACAGAGGGTTGGGGGCAGGTCTACCTCAGCAGCTTGGATGCCACGTTGGCACTGATGGGCAGGGCAGGTATTGAGGGCAGGCCCGAGGACTTGGTGGGTGGGAACTGGGTGTGGTTAAAGGAGGGGAAGCCAGGGGTGAAGGGGTCACCCGTGCCCATGTGCACCTGTGATTGTTTAGGAATAAGAAGCAGAGGTCACAGTTCATCTGCAAGCATGAATTCTATTTAACAATATATGGTAAGTTGTGTTAATGGAAACCAATGCCCAATTTACCATCTCTGAATACCGAAAGAAAGTATTGCACTGTCCTGTACTGCAGTGTATTATTTTATACTGTCCTCTAACAGAGTGTGATATTGTACCACCTCTAATGAGTATAGGCATGCTGTTCCTGTTCACCATTGCACTCACATGCTCTGAGATTGCCACACTGCTGTCCAGGCCTAGTCTACGGGGGTCCTGGGGTACATCTGCGGGGTCAGGGTAAATCAAGACCCCCACCGCTCCAGCCTGCTGGGCGTTGGCCACCTTCTCTGCGAAACTGAGCTGGCCAACCCGCACGATCACCACATTGCCTTCTGCTGGTACTCCCAGGGACTGCACCAGCTCAAAATCCTCCCTGCGGCCGTAGTTCACATAGACCAGCCCCCCCTACAGAGAGGGAGGGGGAGACATGAGAAGGGAGGGAAAATGAAAAAGGGTGGATGGGTTTAATACAGACACACTGGACACTACAGTCCATTAACACTGCACTGAGAGAG